TGACCATTAGAATGAGGTTATCCTTTGCAGGCAGTCTCATTACTCTGGGACAAATTCATACATACTGTAAACTGTTTAAATTTGCTGATAGCCAAGAAAATACTCTTTAATAATCATTTTATCTAGGAGGGAATACATATTCATATGAATTGAGGGTTCAGCCAATCATGCTTTCTCATATGCATGCAGTCTGAGTGTAAGCTTTCTAGGCTGTCACTTTTGAATTAGAAATTCAAATATGGATAATTTTAAATTGTTCTGTCTTGTGCTTAGTTTTAAAAAATGTATTTTAAAGAAACTGTATTGTGATGTGGAGGTAGGGAGTGAAATAACAGGATCTACAATAATATTTAGGTGACAGTAATGTAAGGAAGAATATTTGCTGTTAAAGGACATCCTTTCATCTTGCAGTCTCTTCAGGCAGAGATCCAAGATGGCTGCTTAGTTTCTGTATGAAAAATAAGAATTTCCAGTACATAATTTATTTCCTTATTTTACACTGGTACCATGTGTGTGGTATGTTTTATTGTGCAGTTATAGAACCTGCATTCTGATGACATTTTTTTGGTCACTGTATCTATGTTTTTGTTATTAATACAGGGACTGTTTCTGTTTAAGCAGTATGTATATTTATATATCTTGAATATAGAGAACAGCCTTTTGCCCATTTTCATTCCTTGAATTTTTTCTTAGGAAGCGGAACATAAATACACAATAGCCTGGTATGCAAAGGGAAGTATACTGGCAAAGTGGAAGGAAAGACCTTCAGAAACATGCCTGCCTTTAGTAGAAAGCTGTTCTTCCCAGTATTGTGCTAGTCAGCCTTCCTCTGAACAAAGCCACTTCCATAGTATCTGTAATTCCTGCATGTAAATCATAACTTCTCAGAACATTCTTTAAAGGCTTTTAAAATGTTATCTGTTATATCATGACATTTAATGTTCTCTGTGGTCATGTGGGAAGCCAGTGATAGAGCGAGAAATGTGTGAACCAGACCACTTGATTCCTAGTCTTCTTTCTGTCCCCTATTACGTTGAATCGGCTTGCTTTATTTTGTCAGCACATCATTCCTGATTATGAACATCATTGTCCCAGCAAGTTCCGACTGTATTCTTATAATTCGACATACTCAATACCTATTTTTCTTTAAGGTCATTAAAATGGGATATTTTAAAAGGCACTGGCTTGCTTGAAGTATTTTGTTCTTAAAAGTTTTCCTATAGTCTGTACATGCAAAGTCAGCCTGAGCTTTTGAATATTCAGCATTCCCACATCCTCCTGCAGTTCTCCACTGAAGTCTGTGTTTTGCCAAAGTATTACTATATTCATGGTCTGGAAAGGGCAAATTCTTAGCTCCTGCTTTCCTGTTGTGGTCTGTTGTGTATACAGTGGGGCCCTGGGATGTAGCAAGTCTACATTACTTTTCTTCTCTCCTCGTTATGGATCCTGATGTGTGTAAATCCATTACAAGCCATTTAAATGAATAGGCCTACATGGCCATCTGTGTGAATGAAGAAATTACACAAAGTGTGTAGATTGCTGTCAGTTCTGCAAGTGTTAAAAACTTTTCCTGCACTTAGTCAGTTAAATCTGTGTTAATTGAATTCCTGTCTTATTCTAGTCCTTCCATCAGCTGGGTCAAGAACTTTGCTTTCCCTGTGATGGAGTTAGCTTATATTGAATTTGAGAAGTAACTTCTAAATGGTCCTTATAATAGATTGCAGAGGCTGTGAGGACAAGCAGTCAAATTCTTGATTAGCTGTTCTGGCAGAGAAGAATAGCAATGAGTCAAAACTATGGACATTTTCCCAGGCAAGAATTTAGTGTTATTCCAAGGAGTTCTTTTTAAAGTCCTTTTCCCTGGTAGTAATAAGTAAAACAGCTTTTAAGCAGACAGAATACCCCTCTTAAAGTGAAATATGATGCTACAGGGTGGTGGTAAAAGAAAATACTATTTCTGGTTCAAGTCACATGTAACAGATCATGGCTGTTGAAGCCCTTTGTTGGTAGAATGAACCAGTATTGACTGCCTGGTTTCTCTTGCGGGTCATTAGCTTGTCAGTTAATTGGAAAGCTTGTGAGAGGCTTCTCTGTGACTGTTTTGTGGTAGATGGACGGCAACCCGGGAATAAACTTAGTTAAATGCTGTTCATAGCTGGTAACTATAGCTGGTTTGTACACAGTTTTGATTGCTACATGTGAATTGTATGATGGGCTAATCTCTAAAAGGGATAAGGGATTCCTATGGTGTTGCTCTGAAAGCTAACAAGGATTCGAAATAGGATGCTATTGTGAAATTCATACCATAAATAATACAAATACACTTGTGGGAGTCTGCATGAATGCTGTAACTATAACAAAAGGATTCCTTAGATTCAAGTCTGTAGTTAAGGTGACTATCGCTAGCTTGAGTCAAAACAATGATTTACTAATGATATTCTTTATTGATATGTGTCAGAGTAATACAAAATTCTCTTAACTATAGTTCCGCAAAATTCTCTTAAAACTATAGTTCTGCTGTCATTGAAATGGCAGTGTGTGATTCCTTATTTATTTTTCAGTGACTTGACAGATGCTCATAATAAAAGAAATTTAGGTATAAAGAGGTTGTTTTTTTTTTTCCCCATTCAGCATCTGGACTTGAAAGTCCGCATGGGCTTGTGCATCCTTGTTAGCAATAGGGACTCTACAACTGGGTCTGAGTTTGTAATGCTGTTTTGGATGTATGGTTTAAAAAGAAATTAAAAATTGATCTCTGTTCCTGTTAGCTGTGTGAGTTCTGCAGAGGAGTGAAATGTATGAACCTGAGGGGGCTTTCTGTGGGGAAGGTAAACAGGTAAGAGGAAAGGCAGGTGGAAGAGATTTGTTAAATAGAGGTGCCATTTTTATACTGTTGTTCTTCTGGCTATAACTGCACTTTACATTTTGTTATGGCCTGGGTCCATAGAGTTGAATTTTATAAGGCAGTTTCAGAACAATTGGGTCAGTCACCCATTATTCATTCAGTTACACCCCACAGCCTTGCTGCTCCCTGTTGACATCTGTGCACAAAGCCCAGCTCTTTTTTGCATAACCTGACCAGCTCAAATGCTGATTGTGGGAGCTGCTGAAAGTCACTGGGAGCGGAGAGCCTGAGAGAAGAAATGGCTAAATAGCTCATTCCCTGGGGCATGCCCAGAGGCGGGCAGGAAGCTGATAATGTCATCGTTTTGCGTGTAATATTTTGTGTTTTGCCCATATATTGCTGTAGAAAAGGGAGAAATCGGAGACAGCTGCGTGGGAAATGTTGTTAAACCCCTTTTATGTAGCCAGCCAGCTGTATGTGTTTGTTGCCTTACGCAGGCATTGACTCGCGCTGCCATGAGCTATTTCTGAGGGGACTGCCTCACCTGGAGTGGGAGGGATCCCCGCCTGCCGTGGCAATGCCGAGGTGCCTGGCCTTGCCGGGCCGCGCGCCGGAAAGTTGCGTGCCCCGTGAAGCAGGGCATTAGGGAAAGCAACGCAAATAGCCGTCTCGTTAAGGTGGTGAAATGATGCGCCGGACGGCTGAATTCTGCCCCTGAGGCCGCCTCTGCGCAGCTGGGCGAGAGCGGCCGGCCGGCCTGTCTGTAGGAGGTCGGTCCCCGAGAGCGAGTGCGACTGCACCTGCTTCGGGGTTCAGGCCTACGTAAACGCTGGCTCCTGACGCGGGGCTATGTGGGGGCTGTGCTTGGGGAATGGGAAGGAGCGAGTTGTCAAAAAAGAAAAGGGAAAAACACGGAGGTAGGCAGCAGCGGGGACTGCGTGCGTGTCAAACGGGCACTCCGTCTGAACGCGCTCTCTGAACAGCGGCGAGTCGCGTTTCTTCCACCTGTGAAATGAATACAATGCTGCCTTATCTTGCGAGAGTATCATTGAAGTAAATCCAGCCGTGTTTGTGAAATGTTTGGATGCTTTGGTGCTGAGCACTAAAAGAAAAGCTCAGAAATAAATTAATGGTTCTTTATTCGGGAGGAACGTCAGCGGTAGGTCGCGAAAGAAGTACGTTTTTTGCAACGCAGCTAAAAGGGAGTATTGAAAAGCTGCTGGTGGGGAGTGCTGACTGTCACGTACACTGAATTGAAGCTGTTTTCTTACAGAAAAGAAAATAGCTTGTGATAAAGTAATTGAATACTGTATAAAAATGTATGCCCGTGAAGTAAGAGGGAGGGAAGTATTAAAGCTGCAAAAATAATCTCTATTAAACTCCTAATGTTTGATTTTACTGGGATTTTTGAACTTCGTGTTAAAAATGTAATTTGTGAACTTACTTACAAGCACCAAAGGCATAGGTTTACACTAGGTTCTGTAATACCGAAGTAGTTAACCTACCTGTTTCCATATATGGAAGAAAACCTTGAATTTTTTCACGTATAAGTATGGACAATGCCTCAATTTCAGCCCACTGTTGAATTCATTTGGTAGAAATATTTTGTAGGTTTTTATTAAACTAAACAAACAGAGTAGTGATATTTCATATAAAATTACTGTGAGAATAAGTGACTGCAGTTGAACTTTTCTGGCAGAGTTGGAAACTGGGTTATAAGAGGATAGTTAACTGCAAACTCTTTGTGTTGGAAATGCCTTTGTATTAGGTGTTTGGATGGTAGCCCAGCAAAGCACCAGTCCTGGGCACTGCTGGGAACCTCTAAGACGATATGGTTACACAAATAATCATAATTGTGTTTCAGATGGTAAGTAAAATGCTTATAAACTCATTAATCAAGAACTGTAAAGCTAGTTTACAAACTGTTTTGCAAACAAACAGGATTAAGTGGGTAGAAATTGGGTGGAAAAAATGTTGGTTAGTCACTAGCAACATTGGAACCAAATACACAGATTTTTATCTTGCTATTGGTTCTTTTGTGTTAGTATGAGTCATCTTAAAGCCTGTGTGCTTCTATATGAAAATGTATCTTGCATAGCAGACCGTGATGAGCAGAGAAGGTCAACTCTATTTTTTTTTTTTTAATCTCTTCTAGCCTTCAGGAAAAAGAACAGTCGTTCAGCATGTCCATCAAAGAAACTACTGCCAAAGTAAGTACATGCCAGTTCTCAGTTTTTCAGAATGTTTAGAGAAGCAGGTAATAGCTTGCATCTTAATAAATTGTCTGTGTTTTAGGAAGTTGGTTTTGTGGTGTTTCTTCTAAACAGATTTTGCATGTAAATATTTTTAAACATGCACTCCAAAACCTGTCCCCCCCCCCTTATATTTGGACAGGCCGCAGAGATTATGCTCAAGGAAGCAGATGGAGTAATCTATTGTTTCTTGGCTTACATTTACTCGTGATCAGTCTTCTTGCTAGTCTCCATTTAGGACTCCTTAGCTTCATGAAATGAAAGTGAACTCTGGTCACAGCTGGATGTTTTTGCTCTTAATACAGAGCCTATTACTTTCCTAGCTGACTGGTTTTGTTGGTATGAAGGAAGAGGATAAATGAAGTACCTTTTTTCCCCTCACTTTCACTAATAATAAACTAGCAAACTAATTCTCACACCGTTTTAAAAATAATAAAAAAAGTGATGTGGCATATTTGACATACCTTTTGTTTCTAACCAGAGATATTAATACTTTTCCTTTAATTTTCCTATTCTAATTGGCTAATCTAAAATTGGCCTCCTTCCAAGAAAGAGAATACTAAAGTTTTCTTTTTGTTTCAGAATGGCTCAATGAGCCACAGAGCATCTTTGCTCTAGGAAAAAAGGTCAATATATTATAATATTATAATAA